ACAGTAGATCAGAAATTTAAATTGAAATATCTTGGTGGATGGGTAATTGCTATCAGTAAAGAAGTCCCCTTTTAACATCCAAGGAGTGAGGATGCTCCGGCTTGCTTGATTTTTGCAGCCATAAATATACAGTAGATCAGAAATTTAAATTGAAATATCTTGGTGGATGGGTAATTGCTATCAGTACTCGGATGTCTCTTGCATCTGGAATGTGTTTTCATCAGTTTAAAGTCTGTAATATATGTCATTTCAATTTTTAATGAAAGAACTTTTGCTAGAACCCTTGTACAGTAAAAGCTGCACTCAAGCTTACAGGTGCTTTCCATACCTACGTAAATGATCATTTTATTTCTTGGAAATCACCTGTATCGCCTGGTGAGTCCGAAGTCGAGCAGGAAAACCGTGAGTCCGTGTTGTCCCAGACCCATTGCGAAATTCTCTGGTTTGAGATCGCCGTGAATGAAACCCGAGTTGTGGAGATGCGTGATTCGCGGGAGCATTTGGGAGGCGAGTCTGAGGGCCGTGTTTGCGCTGAAGCGGCCGTTGCAGAGTGACAAAAGGTCCTCGAGGTTGGCGCCCACCAACTGCATGACCATCATGTTGTACTGGCCCTCGGTGCCGTGCCACAACAGGCGTGGGATCCCGTTTGTGGAACCGATCGCGGTGTAGAGCGCCACCTGGAGGGAGATTTTATTTTTTAATTCGGAGTTTTCGATCATGTCTCTGTTGCGATTGAAAATGGTTTTTCGTTTTTGTTTTCACTTTAATGACTGATGTCTCCGCGTCCGCTGTTATATTTGGTTCTGCGTTAATTCTGCCCGAATTGGTGTTATTTGTCGAAAAATAATTCGATTTTTTCCTAGATCCTAGTTCATTATTGTACTACTGTATCTCCAAATATTTTTTTAAGTAGGACGTAATCCAAAAAAATCTCGGAAAATGTTTATTACCTATTCGGTATGCCATTCCGTTCATTATTATAAGAATACTGTATTGTGTTCAGAATTTAGTGTACAAAATTAAAGAAGGATGTGTGTAACAGGATCACTTCTTTTCTTTTGAAAGAATAGTACAAGTACAAGTACTCTACAACGATTTTGTCTAAAGATTATCTCCGTTCTGCCGAAGGAATTTTTGTGGCCTATCCACCTTTAAGAGGATCTCAACGATGAATTTGATTCTGGTCCCCTGAATTTCGTTTTCGAGAGTCCACCTGCATTAAGAAAATGTGCTGAAAAAAAAAACCGGAATTGAATTGAAGAAACCCAAGAAATTAAAATTTAAAGAATTAGAAGAATTGGATTTTTTCCAAAAATTCTTGGAAATTCGCACTGAATATGGAAAGTATCTTCACCTGCTCTCCAAAAAAAGTTTTATATTTTAAATAAAATGGCAGATAAATATTTTAAGTAGTTGAAATTCTTCGACTGGAAAAAGTGTCCTTTCAAAAAATATCTTCGAAATCCGATTTTAAAATTTATACAATTTTGCCAATAAACATGACTAAGAACTATGACGGAGTTGGGGATCTTGAAGATTCATTCAATCATTTAAAGAAATGAACCGAATTCCAGGCTGTCTTTTTGAGTGGTGGAAAAGAAAAATTCGTAGGTTTTTCCTGGAGGTTATAGAGGAGCATTCCTTTTTAATCTGCTACTGTAATGAAAAATATTTTCTGAAGTTTAAAAAAAACGAGTTTTGAAAAAATAAATACGGCGTTTAAAAAACTTGAAAATGGCAGTGCGTAAACTTGGAGTATTACCTCATCGTTGAGATACTATTGAGCACATTTGAAGGTAATGCAGGAAAGGACCAAGAAAATTGTACTCGCCTCTCGAGGCACCTTGGGTCGGGCGCAGTTGGCGAGCTCGACCTTGAGCGCAACCTCTTTGCCAGTCTTGACTGCCCGCGCGAGGAAGATGTGGCCGAACGAGCCGCGACCTATTTGGCAGATGACCTGGTACCGCCCGCGTCCGACGCAGATGGGCTCGTCGTCGGCGAACGGAGCGTCGGGGACGGACTGGCCGCCGTCTTGCGCCTGCTGCTGGCCCGCCGGGTACGAGTCTGTGGCCAGCACCACGCGGCCCATGACTGGCTGTGGCCATCCTCGACTCACTCCGGCGCCGCTTGGCGGCGTGCTCGGCGTCAACGCCGTCATATCCACCCGAGCGACTGCCACGGTTTCTCAACCATTATCCCTTTGCAGGACAAAAATTACCGGGTGTTATTGCTTATTGGGATTATTTTGGGCATTTCCAGCAATACAGTATTGTAGTACTGTACTGTACTGTACATATTCTTTGCGAGCCTCGGCCTTGAATATTTTGGTCTTACATCCTTTGTTTTATTCGGGGTCATTTAAAATTTATATATTGACTTTTTTCGATGAATTTATTCTTGGAAAAATCTTCAAAATACAGTAAGAAGAAATCTAAATCAAACTGACCTAAACTAACCACAAAAAACTAACCCAACCTAAAATGATCAAAAATAAAATAACTCAACGTAAAAAAGCCGAAAATGAAATAATCCAACCTAATATTATCAAAAATAAAATGATCCAAACTTGAATTTACTAAATATAGATAACCGAACCTAAATTAACCTAAGTAAATAACCCAACTTTAACTAACCCAAATTTTAAAAAAATCCAACCGGAACTAAGCGAAAATAAAGTAATCGATTCTTTGCCCTCTATAACAAAGCATTAAACTTCTTGGTTTTCTCAATTTTACGGTGCTTTAGCCAGGATATGCTTGTCCCCGAAAGGCAAAAACCCACGGATATTCCCATTCACAACTCATTAGAAAGCAATTGAAGGCCCATAATATCACTGATTACAATATCCATTATTTATTATCCCTCCACAAAAATGCTCGTTTCCCAAACTCGGATTTATTTTTTTTGTTGGTCCTTTTTAATTCAACATGAGGAGGTTTGACTTCAATTGTTGGCCCTGTCGGTTTTTTAGGTTGCGCATTGTAGGCCAAGGTAGCGATTCACTCAACACCTGTTCGACAATTCAGGGAAAATGTGGAATTCTGAAAGCTTGCATTGACAAGTCTGTTGGAATTATTATTGTTTTCTTCTTTTCAAAATCGAACGATTTTTGTTCATTTTCGAATAAGATCCTTTCCAGGAATGGAAATAACGATGAAGAGAGTGCGGCGGTGTTTCCTCCGAGTCTCACCTCGTTTTTTACTGGGGGAGGCGGCAACTGGGTTGTCTGCGTTGGAAAAATTGAGGTGCGGCGAATTTAGCGGGAGATTAATCGTGATTTCGGGGGATCTGGGGGTTGAAGTTAAAAGTAACGACCTTTGCACGGTCCCTGTGAGGGACGAGTATTTTCTGCGGAGTTCGCGCCATCACGAAGGAAAGTACGAGGAAAGTTTCCACTGACGGCATTTTGTATGTGTGTAACTTTCATTAAACTCCCGAGTACTGTACAATAATTATCCTAGTGCCGAAAAACTGCGAAGCACGGATTTTAGATCCTGGATCTCGGAGAAGTGGCACATTCTCATGAGTCGAGTTTGTCGGAAGTAAAAAAAAAAAAATTCGAATGTGGTCGTGGAGTTATGAATACATTTTTTTTAAGGAACGACAAAATGTACAGTGGGGCCCCGAGATGCGGACATAATTTTAGCTCGGGTCTTGTCCGTATGTCGGATTACGTTTTTCCGTAGACTAATGGGAACGTACCGTATTTTATTTGTTCTCCTGTTCATAGTACAAAAAATTAAATACTGTATACAATTTTTTCTCGGCTACAAATACATGAAAAATGACTGTGCCAAAGAGAACCACGCAGAACTTAATCTTTTGGCAGGAAACGGAGCCTAGAAAGCAATCAGCAAACACAAGTATCGCTTTACTGTGCACGCATGACTTTTTTTTAATCTGAAAAAGGAAGCCCAAAATTAGCCTGGTTTTGATTATGAATCAAAGTGCTGTAATTTTATAATCCAATTCATTTTTAATTTTTTTGAATATGCAGTAGCTCGATTTGTTCAAGAGATATCATGATCTAGAAAAAATTAACTTTTACATTTTCTAGAAATGTTGGAAAACTGCACATATCTCGAGACGTCCTGATGTCTGGACAAATCGTCCGTATGTTGGTGTCCCACTGTATTTACATGAACAAGTAGAGCAGAAAAGACTTGTGTTCTTTCATTAAGAAAAGATTTTGACGGCAAAAGATTCCCGGCAACATACATGTACTGTATTTTTTGGTGCATGGGTGACTGAAATAAATTCTGGAGTCTTCCTCAAGTCAAATCCCAGTGATATTCATTTACTGCTGTGTTTGCCAAACTCGGGACTTTCCTCGGTAATTCGTGCGTGCCGAGTTTTGTTGCAACCAAGCATTCCTTCTTTTGCGTGAAATTGCTTGAGGAGATTTTAGGGTTGCTAAAACAAATGCGTCGTGTCCATCGCCCAGTGCTTTTTATGCAGTATCGGGAAGGCATGGAGAGAGAAAAAAATATGGCGCAACAGATTACGACATTTACTTATAGTAACTTTAAATTTGTTTAGAGTAAAGTCGATTTAATTTCTTTTAGCATATGCTGTAAAATTACTGTATGAAGGAAGTTACTGCTTGCAGGAGTCATCGTCAATATTGAAACCTTGGAAAGTGGAACATTTCTGCAATTTCATTCAATTGTTTAGCCTTGCGAAATATTCTTGGTTCCCATAATGTTATTCTTTCCAGATCTGCAGAACAAATCATTTCAACTCACGTAAAGTATTTCAGCAAGTTTTTCAGTTTTCAAATGCGAAGAATGGGCGCATTTTTTTATTGCTCAGCGAGGAAGGAAGAAAGATAAATTCGAAATGCACAGACCTAAAATATACCCCAATTGTTATGTTTTTGGAGAACCGTAAATTTTTTTTCATTTGTAAAGAACTCGTTGTCTTTTTAATTTTTTTTTATTTGGTCTACGTTTCTCCTGACATTCAGTTGGAGGCAAAATATATACAGGTGGTGCCCCGCAATGTCGAATGGGACGTTTTCAACATCGTATTTGACGTTTTTGCGCCTCGCTGTGGGTCGAATTGCAAGTCGACCGACGCATTGCGGGGTTACCACCTGTGCAGTGCATAATTTGAAAATATTTATTGAATCCTTTTCGTGGATGTACCCAAAGTGTGTCTTCCTGTGAATTCACAGGTGTCCTCCATTGCTCAACTATGCCTGGATCCGTATTACCGCACAATGGACGGGTTCCGTGTCTTGGTGGAAAAGGAGTGGTTGGCCTTTGGTCACAAGTTCAGCTACAGAACTGGGCACACGGCTGCGTCGCAAAACACGGCGTTGGCGCCATTTTTCCTGCAGTTTTTGGACATCGTTCACCAGGTTCGTCTCGTCTTGTAAATTTTCTATTTTTCCTGTAGAATAGCATGCGAAGTTGTTCGGAAATTTATTTTTAAAGTGCAACCAAGCATTCCTTCTCCTGCTTGAAATTGCCTGAGGAGATTTTTAGGTTGCCAAAGCAAAAGCGTAGCCCATGTCCCAACGCTATTCATGCCGTGCTGGGAATGTATTGGAAACTGTTGCGACAAATCATACACATGTATTTTCTGTGGTGATGATTATACAGTATTGTACTTATGCAGTATGATTTTAGAAAGTGTAAGAGAGGGCAGGTTTAAACTCCAAAGTAAAAGGAACGTTTTTCACGTCTTGAATTTTCTCCGGATTATTGCATCAAAATATGTTCTCAACAGTTCTTAACAAACAGATGCACTTCTTGAACATGTATTTTCTATTTTTTTCAGCTTATACAATACTTCTGTAAGATGAGTATAATTTTAGGAAATTTACGAAAGGGAAGATCTAAAATATTGATTATTTCATCGATAAACGTTGGAAAAGTGGGCGATTCTCCACAAACCTGCTGTGGAAATAATTTTAATTATTGTTTATTTTTATCTGCAAAATTTCGGTCGTATATGCTTGAAGAAACCTTGGCTCTCGTTATAACGAAACTTCCATGATGACTACTTTTTTTTTTCTCAGATCCATGGGAGTTCGTTGTAACGAGATTCTACTGTTTTTTTTTTTTCATCTCCTGCAGATTCTTATTCAATACCCGATGGCATTCGAGTTCAATCAGTATTACTTGAAGTTCCTGGCATATCATTCGATGTCGCATCGATTCAAAACTTTCGTGTTCAACTGGGAACTGGACCGAGTGGGACTTTCTAGTCCGAGCGGTTCCGGAACTGGTGACATGTCGTGGTCAAACACCGGCGGAAGTTCGCATCGGCCGAAGCTGGTTGATTTCATCACGAGTCACTCTGACGAAGAACTCGGATTTCTCAGTGAGCCTGTTCTTCTATATTACTGTGTACGATTGTGTTTCACGGGATTATTCTTGGAGTATCGGTCATTTTACGATTGGGGATTCGATTCTGATGGACTGTCCGTTATCCGAGGATTATTTTTTGCCGAGGAATGAGAAGCAGATTGGAAGGGCTGTGAAAGGATTTTGAAAGTGGTATTGTATATGATGAAATAACTGCAGAACGCGAGTAGGGATACAATGTTCAACACTATAGAAAATACAGTATTAGAAAAGGCTTTGATTCCTTTCAAGTGGTTACTGTCAAAATCTTTCTTTTTTTTCTCAGAAGACGATTAACGAGCTTTTTGAACAGCGCAGTACGAGGGGCCCGAAAAAGTCCTCGGAATAAAGATAGAAACGGCAGATCATTGAGCTGAAAATTATTTTTAAAAAAATTCTTTGGTACACAAAAAATTATTTTTGGCATTGATTCCAAGGGTTGCCTCCAGCTCTTCCGAAGTCTTTCTGCCACATGGTATGAGAATGTGGCGGCTGTTCTTGTCAATGGCGGAATAACCATAGAAGAGCTGGAAGAAATTTCAATAGTTCAGGAGAAGCTGTGCTACGCAAAAGAAAAAAAAAAATCCGCCGGGGTGACTTTTGAAAAATTTCCCACAAAATACGTCAAACAGGCTAAAGTTATTTTTGCTTGTGGAAAAGAATGTTCTTCTTTTTAAAGACCAATAGTTTTTTTCAGCTCAATCATGTGTCTTTTCAACTTTTATTCCGAGAAGTTTTGTTACACTCGTCTTATCATGCAGACCAAATATTTGTGTTTTGAAAAATTCAGTGCGCGAGTTGATTCATTATTTGGAAAAGAACCCTGAATTTTAGTTAACTGAAAAAAAGCGCCACCATGTTATCATTTTTTGAAGTCGCGGGCGACTTGGAAGTCATACGAGTCTGTATTAGATTCAAATGAGCGGAGTCTACGTACATGGATTTTATTTTCCTATTGAATCACAGGCACAAAGTATTGATCCACCATGTTTTCAAACTTCACGTTTCAACTACAGTAATACAGTATATATTTTTTCTTTTTTAGCGTTTAGAAACAATGCAAATGGTTCTCATACGAGTTCTCCCACCGGGGGTCCTCATGCTTGGGATTCGGTGTTTGATTACATTGAAGAGCATTCCGTTCGATCGCCTACTTTCTTCAACTTCATGTTTTCGAGAGATTCGATGACAACCGTAAGTTTTTACTTCTTGATCACAGCCTTTCGTCTTTGCGTGATTGTGCATACATTTCATCATTTTCCAGGTCTTGAGACCCTTTAGCGGAATTCCGAGTCTTGAAATCTGGGATTTCTTTTTGTCTGAAGATTTGTCCAAGGGTTCATGTTACGACTTCGAGGCTGCAGAAATTGATGATCCTTTTTCGAAAAAGCGGAGGACTGTTTTAGCTGGGTAAGGAAAATAAGGTACCTTATACCTCATCGTGTATTTATGTGCGCCTTTTTTTTTCTGCTTTATAATCTGGCAAGATGTTACGGTAGTGTCGCGATTTTCTGAAGAAGATACAGTAGTTTTTTCGTGGGTTCAAGGCTTCAAACATCATCTTGCAAAGTTGCAATATTTATGATTTGTTTCTCGAAGTAGTAATGCACTAATTTTCAAGTTTACATTGGACAGGGGGGTCCAAGAAAAGTCGTCAGACTCTTGAAAAGATTTCTGCCGAGCCTTCTGATTAATGACGCTTAATTTTGTGGCTTAATTTCATTGGGGTGATAATTATTTGAAAGAAACAAATACTCAAGATGTCGCATTTTTTTCCATACAATATTTGTATTTCTTCCTGTTTCAGGAATTCTGTTCTTTCCATTTCTGCTTTTTAGTCTTGAAGCGTAGTCTAGAACGGCAGAAAATTGTTGAGTATTGTAAAATGCGTGGAGTACGAATTTTCAGGAATGGTTTATTTTTTATTTTTGCGTTATTTCTGTGATGGGCATTTTAAATGGGAGCGACATGTATTGACGCTGTCTTTCATCGATATATACTTTTTTATTGTGTAAGCAATATTGCTACGTTTGCAGTTGATCGTATGATGGATTTTCGATACTTAGGTATGACTGCGTAGACGCTTGCAGCTTATCAGGATTTTTGCAAGTCCTGGAAAACCTCCGAACAGCACAAGTGAAGCTTGGCAGGCTAGCACAGATGTGGAGGAACGTGTGGGACAAACTCGAACCACCTTCTAATGCCACGCTAACCGTACGTGCATTTGTGAAATCCCAAGCGTTTTTGTTTTCATCTGATGATCTTGTAAGAAAAGATCACGACGTGAACATATGTGTCGTCTTTTTTTTTTTTTTGCAGAAAGCAGATATGGTCAGTGCCGTGCAGCTGCAAGGGCGGCTCTTGCACAAGAGGGCCACGGTTGATATTCTTCTGCGAGGCCGGTTGACGAATGAAATCAGTCCTGGTGTCGGGGCTTCGGTGAGCGGCGATTCTGGTCACCAAGTTTCGTTTAGTCACCCGCATCGATTTGAGCGGTGCAGCTACGCAACGCCGACGTATTGCGACTACTGCTCTCGGCTTCTGTGGGGCATTGTCAGGGTGAGTTGGAAAAGTTATATTTGATTTTGTATTTGGAATTCGATTGACGTCATGGCGCCGCGCGATGGCTGTTGAATCTAGACGGTTACGGGACAACTCGCCAGAGGCGACAACTCCTTTTTTTTTATTTATACTGCACTAATTTATTATTTGTATAAAATTACAGCGCAGGGAAATGTCGACTTTTTTTTCACCCAGATTCTTCTTTGTCCAGCACGAATTGTATTTTATTTTTGCATTCAGTTTTTAGATTTATGAAACATTTTCAATGTATTCTTCTGCTCAGCAGCTGGTACTACTTGGCGATTTTTCAGCAAATCAAAAAGTTACACTTGTCTTCTAATGATTTCCTACTTGTAAAACAGGATTATAGTTCTTCAAAAACAAAAATGTGAAATTTTCTATTTTTTCGACGCTCTTTGCCAAATAATTATCGAGAATAATGCGTTGAATTTTACGCTTTTGGAAAGAATGGTTGTCGTATTTTCTGACGAAAAATCTGGTTACAGGACAGCTCAAGTATTGACAAGTGTGTGTGTTGTCCTCGAATTTCAGCAAACGGGAATGAAGTGCATGGATTGCGGCTACAACGCTCACGAACGCTGCGTGGATACAGCGCCGAAAAACTGTCAAAAGGTGTCTCCAGGGACCATCAGCGTAGAGGTGCTTCCACCCGAGCCCGAAACGGAGACGATTGCCCCGGACGAACCTTCGACCGTGGGTATTTCCCCGGGTCGTCACGCGGCCTCGTGTCCACCGGAATCGCACGGGTCCGTGGCCGAACAGGAGGACGGAGACGATGTGCGATTGAGTCAATCGGCGGCCCAAAGTATTTCCGTGGCGTATCTCCAGGACTTGAAGGCCCTGCAGCCGAGGGGCCAGGACAGGGCAGCTGGATACTACGACGGATATTTGTACAAGCGAGGCGCCAAGTTGAAGGCCTGGCCGAAGCGGTGGTTTGTGCTCGATCCGATGAAGCATCAATTGCGCTACTACCACTCCAAGGAGGACAATCATTGGAAAGGACTGATAGGTGAAAAATGCTGACATTTAGTACTGTATTCTAGCTGTCGATTTATTATGTTTTTTTGTAGTTCCTGTCTGAATTTTCTCGGGGACGATGCATTAAAAGCCTCTCTAAATCAAAGGCTTTTTTTCCCCCCCCCCCCCCCCTTGAACCTCAATGACTCGAATTTTCTGGAGGCCTTTTGTCTATTATTTTATTGACACAAGAAAAAGAGAGAGACAATAAAAATATAACAACTCTTAACAAGTGCTTTCGAAGGAAGTGAAAGATTGATTGTGCAAGTGAACCCTTGCCTTCGAGTTTAGCATCCCGTCAAATCATTTAAGGAGCAAATCAAGGCCCAGAATTATCACCCGTTACAATTTCCTCTAATTCCTTTTTCTTTCCGTCAAGAAACATGTTTTTTTCCATCACACGAATTTTTCTGCTGGTCCCTTGAAGTTCGACCTAAAGAAGTTCATCTGTTTTTTTGAAACCAAGCTTATTTTTTTTTTCAAAAAGACTAAAAAGGTATATACAGTTCTCACTCGAATATATGGCCACTTTTCTCCGACGAAAGTGTGATTATGAAAATTCGAGTGTGTTTTGAATTTAATGGCGTCATACGTTTGCGTGTAGGTTCTTCTTAACACAATTTTTTTCATTTTATTTTATTTTTTCATTTGAACTCCGGAATGATTCAGTGTTTGGTATTTGTTATTCCCTCTCAGATCTGGACAAGGTCCAGTCGGCGGTTGCTGTACCTCCACCCTCAGGGTTGCGCGGAATTCCCAAGGGATTCGACGACAACTCATTTTTTGATGTAAGTGATCGTTGTATAGAAAAATAAGTTTTGATTTAGATTTTGCCAGTAGATGTCGCTATCAGTAATCTTATTATTAGAGATTACTCGACTTTTTTATCATTACATTGGAGAAAACCAAATTTTGTTCTCCAATCCTTCAGATTGCAATGCAGATGAAGAATAGTGTACTGTACATGTAGGTTGAAAATAATTGGAATTCTCTGTTATGGTGAAACACAGACTGTATTTTCAACGATTTTTGAATTCTCAACATTCTCTTCATATTTCAATTACTCGATGCGCTCCACGAGTAATGTGTAAACAAAAATGCAATTTTTTGAAACGAGGCATTCACTGTAAAGTATTGAGCATTTGTTTGATTTTCAGGTCGTTGTGACGCTGCAAGAAGGAACCCGTCGAGTCTACAATTTCTGCGCATTCAACGGGAATGCGGCGACGACTTGGATCGAGAAGATACAAGCTTGTTTGTGAGTCGATCCGAAGGACATGGGGAGGAATATTATGTCTTGTTTTTCCTTGATCTTTTCAGTCTGCGCGATTAAACGCACAAGCGATACGTTCGCGAATATCTGAATGCAATACACGTTGTGATATCTATATAGAGAGAGCAATATTGTTGAAGACATGAGAAAAGGGGATATTTCCTTTATCGTCGTTTACGTGTGCAAGAATGTTCTCAGAAACCGTAAAAAAAAGGTGTTACGCAGACGCCGTGACACGCGTCGGACATATTCGAGTGAAAGTGATGGCATGTACTAACTAACGGTTTTGCGAGTCGTAAATGATCTTCAGTTTTATTTTGGACGATATTACGGGGAATTTTTGTCTCCTCTGCCGAAGGGTGCGGAAGCGCTGTCGTGGGGTTTTTTGCTTTGCATTTTTTGTATTTATTTGATTATCGCTTGCCGCTTTTTGCGCAACTACTTCAACACGTGCCTGTGTGCTCAACGTCCGCGCCGACGGGTCTGCGATGACGAAATGAACCATGACCGGTTGTCGACACAAATGCCTTCAGCGGCCTGCTTTTTTGTGGGGGTTTGATGGTTTAGTACGGTAAAGTAAAATCTCGTTACAACGAACTCTTGGGAATCTGAAAAAATCGTTATAATGGAAAGTAGGACTGAAATTTTGTGGGAAACAGGTAGTAACGTAATCATTTACAGTATTTCCACGACAGATTTGTGAAGAATTGCCCGTAGTCCAACATAACTTGATGAAATGCTCCAGAAAAGTCTGAAATTACATTTTACTAATCTTAATACAGTACAAGCTGGTATGAACAAGAAGTATGCTGCAAAAGAGCATGTATTCATGAAAATGTGTATCTTCCTCGAAATAGAACAATAATGTCCTTCCAAACATAATTTTCTTTCGAAAAGTTCGCCGTTTCTAAATTCTAAAATAAAGCTTATTTCATTTTGATTCGAGCTCCATATTTCGAGCTCGAATCAAAATGTTTGCCCATAAAGATTGCCAGACATATTTCTTGAAGTTTTTTTGAAGTTATGCTCAAGTCGGGTTTCCTCTTTTTGTGCCAATTATTAAAAATATCTATGGCCATGTATGCACACGAGATCAAGGCAAAATGTCGTTATACGGAGGTTATAGAAGAAAATTAGTATGTTCTGACGAACGTTTTATGACGTCCCTTAAAAAGCTGCTGGGAGCAAGAAAAAAATTCGTTGTACCGGAATTTTACCGTATTGTACTCGGGTGGTTGCTGGTCTCGTTTGCGATTCCTCTGCTGTGGGGCCGAATTGCACCGGGGTTTGGTTACGATTGACGTTTGGACTCTTCATTGGGAGAACAAGATCGAGTGTCACCTCGACTATATCCTAGCCAATTTGTATGCTGTCTGTGTAATCAAGATGATATCCCCTGATTAACGGACAGTCCGATCAAAAGATGATTGTTCGCGAGTGAAATTGACTCCCGAGAGCTTTGTCCCGAAAATTTGGAAAGCTTTAGTGCTTCCGCACAAAATACCTGTAGTACCAAAACAGTATGTGTACAAACCAGCTGGTGAAAAACGCATTGATAACTACCTCCCTGCCAACACAGGTTCTCTCGCTTATTAGTGCACTTGCCTAATGGTAATGGCATTTTTCAAGTTGCCTTTCTGTAGAATAATTGTTCCAAAATAAGAAACAAGCGCTTGTTTGAATGCCAGTCTTGAACATATCCATGTTTTCATGATTGAAAATGGGACCAGAACCAAAAGGCCTGAAATGCTGTACCTTTTTTTTTTTTACTGGAGTACCCCGTGTCTTTTATTAGGATCCACATCTGACATTTTTGGCGTAAAATTTGGCTGAAAGTGTACCCCCAAGTAAGACATGCGACCCATTTTTAGAGACAGATGATTCAAATATTTTGAGGTAAAATACTTAAATTTTAAATAAAATTCAGTCGATTTTTTTCATAGATTCCATTTAATTTTTTTTCATTTCGTTGGAATCAAGTATTACGACACGAAAGCTCCAAAAAGTTTTACAAATGCTGTACCGACATTTGATGTGAACCCTTTTTTCCTCCCCTCAATTAAAAAAAAAGGTGAGTTGTACTTGATTACATACAATACAGTATTGAACAAATTATGTGCGAAAATGTTGCCTGAAGTGTACTCCCTTGTACCTCTCAGATTTATCTGAACACTTTCCCAACTATTTTGTCTGACGGAGAAGCTCCTATGAAAACAAGGCAACTTAGTAAAATGTTCTCTTTTCCTTGTGATTTAATGCTCTGGAATTTTTATTCTACCTCTAATTTCCTTAAATGTGTATGTATGTATTTTAGACTCCCGAGAAATGTTAAAGCCTCAGAAAAGTGCAGGCCCATGGGACTACAGTACTGTTTATGCATGATTCCCATTTACAATGCAGGGTATGGGATCCCAAGGTCGGCGCATTTATCCTGTCGTCGCACGTGTGTGAGGGTCGCCGGTATTCGATAGATGTCGCTAGGGGAAAGTATGAACCCCCGTCGTGAAATGCCTACTGCGTAGTTCACGTGCCGACGACATCCCGGTTTTGTCTCCCACATTCTCGTGATGATAAATGGCTAGGTTCCATCTGCCCCTTCGTTCAAGGTGCTCAGCGCAAGTCTGTGCTAATGATGAAGGTCACCTTCCCATTAAAGGCCTCATAGATTCTCTTTCCGTATATCGCGTTTTGTCCGTTGTTGTGTAAATCCTTCCGCGGGCTATAAAAGGGGAAGGCCGATGTGCACCTGTGCGGAACGTCAGCTTCATCGATGATATCTCGACGCATAAATGGGAGGAGGAAGTACCGGGGTCTTTTCCCAGGATTTTAATTCTGCTCCGACGCTTCGAATTGTTACAGAAAGCGTCGCAGTGTGAGGGGTCCATCATTATGGCCTTGTGTTCTTGTTTTACTGGACTGTATACAGTACTGCTGTACAGTGAAAAGGAAATGAGTTCTCAAGCTTTTTAAATTTAAGGGGTCATCAATGCAACAATGGGTTATACTTAACAGGACAGGGAAGAGAATTCACAGAGAGATGATGTATTTGGTCAATTTCCCGTTTTAAGCAAAAGCACATAACATATTAAATATGTACCATTGATGGCAAGGTTCAGTCTTGAGTGCTGGGGCCGATGGGATGAGCAGCATTATTTACAGTATCTTTGCTATATATATACTTTATATGTTGTACAGTAATCTACAGCATGCAGTACGTAAAACCACTCAAATTGGGAAAATCAAAGGAAAGATGAGCATAGAAGATATAGTTTCGAAGCAGAAAGGTATCCCCTAAAAAGTACAGTGATGTTAAGGGTGTCATTTAGTTCTGTGCATTATTGTGGCAGACTTGTATACTTTAATTTAATTTTAAAAAACCTTGTCTTTCAAATTCTACAATCATATTTGAAAAATTATAGGAGCAAGAAAGTACGCATCAATGGTGATTCCCTCGGAGGAAATTTTGAATCTTCAGCAAACGTTTCAGCGCTAAATTCATTCTAAAGGATTAAACTGGCTGAAGATAGTACACAATATTGAAGACCAATTTAATTCTGGGTTAATTTAGATCAAATTTTGTTTGTGGTTTATTCTTTAAGTATTATAATAATTACTGACAATACATTTGGGTACATGTCTCAGTTGAGGATGCATTTCTCTCCTGGTTCCTGGCCTGAAGAATGATATGTGTTTCTTAGTTGAGGATGCATGGTACTTTTGTAAATATGGTAAATGAAAAAAATCCAAATTCAAATCATTTGCTAATTTTAACTCATCCACGTCCGTCTCTTTATCATTAGCAATTACGTTAACCACAATTTTGTATCATAATAAATTGTATTCAGTATAATTGTCAACTAAAAATCCTGGGATATAAAAGACGCTTGTGTGTACATGCAGTCTAGTTGTTTGTGGACCCCAGCAGAATGCTTCTCGCTCCCCGAGACCTCCTAGTATCACCACAGCCCGTCGTCTCAGTACATGGCGTCGTTCGCGTGGCCTCGCGCCGGGCTTATCGGTTTTTATTCCTCCCGTGCGCCAGCGCGACATCAGTACCGCGATCCACTTTTCGCGTTATTATGACGCGCCTGTGATATGGTCTTGGTGTGTATAATGCACGCGCCTTCGACTCCACATTGTATCTGTTCCTGCCTTGTCTCGCCGGGACGAGTTGCCCTGCATAACTTGTCTCTGTAATCTCGGAAGCATGAATGCGTCAAGAAAGAGTGAAGTCAGCCGGGTTTACCACATGTACGTGTGTGGCATGGAGCGACACAGAGAGAGAGAGAGAGACTGTTAAATCAGTATGTGGCGCGTGCCGGGTAGTATATATGCGGAATTGTTCATCATGGAGGAATGGAAAGAGTTATGTTGTTGGGCGTTGAAAGATAGACTTCTCTATACATTATGACATATCCGGGAAGTAAAATTAGCTTTAACATATAACTCTTTCTATTCCTCCCAACGACTTCACGAGGGAAGTCGTCGGGAATGAGCTGGTTCTCGGCAAGGGCGGGTTTAACGTTATTCCGGATGTGATCGACAGATGGACTCCGCTTGGAAAGTACTGTATACGTCAACTCACGTAGCAGGACTCGACAAGGTCGGAGCTGCATTAATTTCAATAATCAGTCGGGTGTAGTGTGCCACGAACCGCGAAGCCCTCGTCTCACTTGCCTTACACAGAGTGATAGCAGCCCGGATAAAGGCTCGTTAACGATTTCCGCGACAGGACAGATGCACGCACCGGAGCTCATTTGCCTGCGATGATGAACACGTCCCATACGTATCTTTAATTGATCCAAGGGGAATGTCAATCAATCGGATCTGCGATTGCGCGGTTCCATCATGCATGAGGCGTGGGCTTGCGGATTGCCGAAGGTATCCGATGAAGTACCTATACGCTTCTCCGAACGTATAGTTGCTGATGGGGTCACTATTATACACGATCCTGTCGTCAGTGTCATTTAGTACATAAACGTCCAGTATATGGAATTGACCGGAATAATAAGTTGTTGAAATTATAATTCTGAGACTCCTGTCTTGAATTAAATCATATACAATCCTTATTTCCTCCTGTTCTTATATACTGTCTTGGAACCAAAACAGGCTTCGCTCCTTTCTCTCCAAAAATATGCGGCGCACATAAATGTGCCCAATCCATTGATCCTATATCTACCGCAACTTTTGGTCCATTTTCTGAAACCAAATCAGCATCACACAAGAAAATTAGAAATTGTATCTTGCTGGATATGCTGGGGATTAGAAAAATAAAATCTCAAGCTTTCAAAACCAATCATTCTAATATGTGTACAGGTAGACTCCCACACTCAATAAGAAAAAATTGAGGGACCAGAACAATTCACTGTAGAAGTGTAGAGAGAATTTTGTTGCAGAGAGAATTTTGTTGCATGGGACCACCAACAAATTTATATACAGAGGAAATTGTTATAGACTTGTAGAGAAAGTTATGGCCATATATTATAAAGAATATCAATTTTATTGAATCAGTCTGATGCATTTCGACCACAATTTTTTGCTGATGCTGAAAAATTTTATTATTGTTTTAGAGAAAGCCATTTATAAAGGGGCATATTATTTCAGTATGCAACCTTTCCATTTTTTCTCATCATATTGATGATTACCTTGAATTTTAAACTAGGCTTTCTGCAATATGAATGTTCTTATCAAAGTTCCAATAACTGGCTTTTTATAATGGGATGCCATTGGTATGTCAGCTCTGCTACAGTACTGCTGCAATTAACCTGTGGATAGCAGATAGCACGCATGACACGTGACAAAAAGAGGGTTGTTGCTGGTCAAGACCACTTTCAAATACCAGGCGATACCATGTGGAACACAATCAACTCACGTCCAGGAGTATCACAACTGCTGGTATACAGCAGTACAGTATTATTATCCACCACCAAATGTCACAGAATACTTGGCTTTCTTGGACCAGTGCTGGGTGTTCAAGACTGCTATGCGTTTTAAGGAGATATCTGGCGGTTGCTCATTCAGACACTGAACATGTGGAATAACCATACCCTTTATTGTAATACAGTTGGGGTATTTTTAATGCACTTATTTTGTACATAGCTCGCTGGTTTTCATCCACAGCGCGCGACAGAGCAGGGATCAGCAGGAGATAAAAGGATCCTTGGGTACTCTGGAAACAACATCAAAATAAGTTGTTGAAATTATAATTCTGAGACTCCTGTCTTGAATTAAATCATATACAATCCTTATTTCCTCCTGTTCTTATATACTGTCTTGGAACCAAAACAGGCTTCGCTCCTTTCTCTCCAAAAAGATGCGGCGCACATAAATGTGCCCAATCCATTGATCCTATATCTACCGCAACTTTTGGTCCATTTTCTGAAACCAAATCAGCATCACACAAGAAAATTAGAAATACAATAATACTGCACTGTATCTTGCTGGATATGCTGGGGATTAGAAAAATAAAATCTCAAGCTTTTAAAACCATTCATTCTAATATGTGTACAGGTAGTCTCCCGCCACACTCAATCAAAAAAATTGAGGGACCAGAACAATTCACTGTAGAGAGAATTTTGTTGCAGAGAACTGCATGGGACCACCAACAAATTTATATTCAGAGGAAATTATTATAGACTTGTGCAGAATGTTATGGCCATATTGTAAAGAATATCAGTTTTACTAAATCAGTCTGATGCATTTTGACAACATTTTGAAATCAAAATGCCCAGAGAAAGTACAATTTTGGACACAATTTTTGCTGATGTTGAGAAATTTTATTGTTCAAGAGAAAGCCATTTATAAAGGGGCATTATTTCAGTATGCAACCTTTCCATAGATTTGAATAGAAAACATTCCTCATCATATTTATGATTACCTTCAATTTTAAACTAGGCTTTCTGCAATATGAATGTTCTTATCAAAGTTCCAATAACTGGCTTGTTATAATGGGATGCCCTTGGTATGTCAGCTCTGCTACAGTACTGCTGCAATTAACCTGTGGATAGCAGATAGCACGCATGACACGTGACAAAAAGAGGGTTGTTGTTGCTGGTCAAGGCCACTTTCATATACCAGGCGATACCATGTGGAACACAATCACCTCGCGTCCAGCAGTATCACAACTGCTGACAGTATTATTATCCACCACCAAATGTCACAGAATACTTGGCTTTTTTTGACCAGTGCTGGGTGTTCAAGAGTATCAAGACTGCTATGTGTTTTAAGGAGATATCTGGCGGTTGCTCATTCAGACACTGAACATGTGGAATAACCATACCCTTTATTGGAATACAGTTGGGGTATTTTTAATGCACTTATTTTGTACATAGCTCGCTGGTTTTCATCCACAGCGCGCGACAGAGCAGGGATCAGCAGGAGATAAAAGGATCCTTGGGTACTCTGGAAACAACATCAGTTCCTGGGGTTGCCAAGACGTACTAATTGGAGTGAATCGCACACTTCCTCGGGGACAGGGCAAGAATCTGGATGATCGATGATGGCATGGACAATATCTCATTTATGGCTGATCGCAGCCCTCAGACGTACTAAACGGCTTATCTTTCCGGGCGAGAGACGCAACAACTTTCGAATATGATTATATCAGCAGTTTGAGAACCCCGGTGCATGCGTTCGTTCGTTCAAGGCATATATAGATTCTAGTACAGTACCGTACAGTATATAAAGGAGGAGTAGTGATGGAGGCCAAAGAGACAGGGAAGTGGATGGTAGAAGGGCGGAAGGAGGGGGTACTGAAGTGAAGGGACACACAGAGGGAAAGACGAGAAATCCGCAGGCTCCTGCGTTCCCCAAATGCCTGTGGAACCACAGTCCAGCACATTCTGAAGTGGAACCGGTGTTCTAGCGCAGGCGTGCCATAAGAAGAAGCTGATGCAATGAATCTTCCCGGGTGGCCACACACCCTGCCCTGTACCTCCTATGAGTTCCACTATAGTTGACGGCCCACCCTTCAGCAGTAAGAGTTTGCACATGGTGCAAAGAACATTTTTGGGATGAATACGCGTTTCTGCATGTGAACAAATAAAAAAAGGCCTGACAGGACAAACTGTGTCCTGCTCAACAAATCCTTTCTTGAAGTGTGTCAAACTGTTCCAAGTTATCCATGCAGGGGCAAGACAACAAGCTTTGCATGGATACTAGATGGCTTGCCCACAGGCATGCAAATTCAAATTACTCATTTTTTGGCTTTATGTAGCTTTCAAACAGGTTAGTATTTCTTCTGCCCTCTTTGTTGGGAATATTTATATTGCAAATACAGTACTGAACTCGCTCCATCAGCTGGTTATTTTCCCTTAAGTAAGATGCGCATCAGAGGTTTTTTCATTCAAAAATTTTCATGAAATGATGGTATCCCAGAGTAAAAAACACACCCCATTTTTAGTGACTATGAAGATGCAATATGCTGAAAATAGAAAACCCAACTTTGAATTTAGATATGAATTGATCCTGAGTTCAACTAATTTTCCATGTCAGTTAAATATTTCCATTACAATAGGTTATCTGTTGAAATTATTCCAAAATTTTCCATTGGAGTCAAATATAATGCGCACCTGAACTTCTGAAAAATCTATACCTGCCCATGATGCACGCCCCTTTTTCCCCACTCAATTTTGAGAAGAAAAAAAAAAGGTGCACCTGGTACTAGAGTAAGCGCAGCATATCACCTGTCCATCTTCATAAAGGATATACCGGTATATAGATAGAATTTTGGATGATCAACTGATATAGAAAATAAGACTTTGACACAGGACTGCCACACTTCAGATTTTGAAAATTTGAAATCTTTCACTTAGAATGCGTCACTTATAGTTACCCGACAAGTACTACATGAGGAAATGGGTTCTTTACTATATGAGCCACTTCTTGGAGCGAATTATTTTCCGTAAGTGTGGCATCACTGTATTGTATTTCAGACTTCGTATGCATGTACTGTATATATAGAGGCAATTAAGTTTATTGTAATGGATAATATCCCCCGAGTACAGTCCCATGTTTTGCGAAAGGGACTGAAACGTCTCTGTGCTTGTTTCCACCAAGTCCCGCGGTACTTACTTCAGTGCCTCCATTCCACACACGCGGCTTTGTTCCCTTGTTCTCTTTCCGTAGCAACTCACCCACAACAGCGTTGGGCATGGGCGAGTGGGAAGCGTGCGCTGAGCCGACGCAAAGCTTGTTGCTGTGGGTGGGGCTAGTGTGCCGCGCGCGCGGACCAGTGACTGGCTGCGAGCGACCCAATAGGGGTCGAGGCCACCGCTCAGCTGATCGACGAACTGCGGAAGCATAGGAGATTCTCGCCTTTGTTGCATGGTCGAGAACGCGAGAAAAATTTTCCCCTTAGCTTCGCTTTTAAACTTTGAGCATTCGAGAGGATTCTTGAACATAAAACCTCGCATGAGTGTCGGTTGAAGTGCACATTCGCTCAACACCCACGTACCGCGGAAACAGTGCCAAAACTAGGTGCCCTTCGTGCAAGCTGGGGGGGATGTGGTTCCTCTCCGCAAGTCTCCAGTTATGGTGTAATGAGTTAAATTTGGAAGCGGTGCTGCGAATGATTCTAATGGAAGGTCGAAAGGGAGGAATGGAGAAAGGAAAAAAAAGGAAGGTGCGATACTGTACTTGACGTCCTTGTTGCCATGCGCGCTCTCTGTTTCCGTGCACATTGTTTGTAATCCATCCGTGTGCCCACTTCTCGTCCTCACTGTGTTGTGGAACTTCGTTGGCGACGAATAGTGTCGGCTTCTGTGTCTCCGGCTGTGTTCATGCGAGATTACCTGGTCGGCAGAAAGGCTTCGTTCTTTCCTTATCCTTGAGCGGACAGCTGGATTCGATTCAGTCTCGGTGTGACCATGGTGGCTCTTTCACCTACTCCAGGGGACTTCGTTTGTGTGTGTGCTTAGTTTTTTTTATAGCAAGTTTCGGTCCTCGATTCGGAAAGTTTCCCAGGGTTCGCAAACTCAGTTTTCCAGGGTTTTTCGTTGTTTCGATACCCTCAACGAAAACGGCGCTTGAAGAAATGGGTCAAATCGGGAAAGTTCCTGAAGTAAGCAACCTTCGGATTTTCTTGGATGCTAAATTCGATGTTCTCCAAGATAGAAATGAAGAATGGTTGACTCGTTTGTTGTAGATGCTTGGAGGATATAGTTTTATAGAAAATGCGGAATTCACGGCTCTCACGACGAAAGACAATTTTGATGGAGGCGGCCAAGAGTGCAACGGTCATCGCCAGAAGCGGGATATCCCGAGTCTCGATCATATAGCACTCGCCATGTCCAGCCACACCAGTTATTTGCAAGTTTTCCTTCGTATGCACAATCATGTTTTGAAAGGAGACGGTCCATTGTCGTACGAAATTCGCCACTTCGTTGCTATGATGGTGAGTAATATACCTTTTCACGCGCGAGTATGTATGAAGAGAACGAAAGCGACGTATTTCGAATTCCTGGTCCCGCCAGTTCCCCGTGAAATGAAGTGTTAACCTAGTTCAGTTGAACACCTCTGACATGTGACAACGATATTCTTGGCACTACCTAAATTCCGTGTCACTGGCCGACCTTCAGTTCGTATAAGCCGGTCCTGTGTTACGAAGTCCTCTGTACAAAGCTTTTAATTTTTGATCCATTGGGAG